AAAAAAAAAAAAAAAAAGAGTGCTAATGCACTATACAACCCCAGTGTGGCATCAACTTCTCTGATGTGAGACAAATGTTCCCAAAGTAGTGACAATGCTTAGCCTTCATGGGTGAAAATTCTTATCTTCTCATAAATGTCATGCCTTGTTTCTCAAAAGTGTTATTAAGTGCTATTGATATTTCATAATTAACCTGAATGCAATTTTCCATTTTATTTTACCTGAATTCAGATGAATTGTTAGTTAACAAAGACAAAGCTGGCTAGGATATAAGCTAAGTCATACTCATTTTCCATATGCAAAATTCTTTACCAACTCATTACACCCTTGCTTTAAGTTCTTCAGTAGTTTGCCATTGTTGATAGTCAAGTCCATGCTACTTCTTGCCTACAGAACAGATCTGGTCTTTGACTTCCCCACTTCACATTTTATGTCTTGCCCTGCTCAAGTTAACTTTTTGTACCTTTTATACCCACCTTTAATATCACTTCTCTCTTTGCTGGATCAGTTTCCATCAATTCTTTAGTCTTTTTCAGTGTCTCCTCATTCTCATGAAATAATCACCTCTTTCTCACCATTGTCTCCCTTTCACCAGTATATTGAATTTTATGTGTCATTCAGTGTTGAACTTTGTTCCTTGGTCAATGTTCCCTACAGATGATAAACTATTTAAGTTTAGGGACCACTTTATATTCACTTTTGAATTCCTAGCAGTGACCACAGTGCCTAGAATATAAGTGGTTGGTCAATAAATGTTTAAACAAACTGTCTTGAAATAAGATGGCTTCCATGTAGACTAAATCAGTTGGGGGAGAGTCCCAGGTTCTCATCCTGAGCTCTCCCTATACACGTTCCTAAACGTGCAGTGATACTGGCTGGCCGGTGGTGGATTCTAGTGTGAGGACTTGGTTGAGGGTGCACATTTCTCTTTCTATCTCTGACTTAGGAAAGAGACATGCATTAACTAAAAACCAACCAAACAAACAGATATTTTCATAACCATATGGCCCTATAAAGTTGGAAATTTGTCTTCAAGACTAAGCATATTCTCTGTATTTGAAGAACATCAGCCCTTCTAAATTAAAAACTATTTTAGCACTTAGTACATTTAGCTCTCCTAAATGTGCTAATGAAAGCCTGTTGCATAGAGGCCAGTGGAATTGATAAGCCACAATACATGGTTTAATAAATAGATTTTAAAAATATGACCCTTAAATTAAAATGTTATATTCCCTTTTACCAAGCTGCCTTTATTCTATTATTTAATAATAAACCTAGTCTGTGTATGGATAGTCATATGTATATATGCCCAAGAAAGTTATGGTAGCAAAATGTTCCTGTAAAGTAAGCCAGTCCTCTTTGGGCCCCATCCAAAACAATTCAGTTACTGTCATGTCCAAAGGACTCCCATATAAATGCCCAGAGGAATTTTTTCAAAAGTACTGAAGTGGTCCAGACCTGGGTATTGTCTGGGTATAGTCTCTCTCTCTCTCTGTCTGTCTCTTTCTCCCTTGCCTCCCTCTTCCCCCACATACCTTCAGACTCTTTGAAATTTTACAATTCCAAATAGAATTCATTAATAAAAATACGAAATGCTTTTTCTTGTATAAATCATAACAAAGTGTGAGAGATAAAGGAAGAACTAAGAGGGATGAATAATCTGCTGCTCGAAAAGTGAAACCTGTCATGTTAACTCCCAACTCAAACACTTAGTTTTAAAGATTTACCTTCAAGAAACCTAAAAGCTTGTATCCTGCCTCATTGGCAACAGCCTCAAACTGTTCCCTGTCATCGAAGAAAACAAATCTTTTGCTCATTTCTGCCTAGGGGAGGCAGAGGGACTGAGGTGGTCCTATGTGGCTGAATTAGATGAAAGACTTGCCTTCCACCATGGAGACATGGAGTCTAATCAAGTGAAATGAGTTCTGAGATCCCAGCTCATTTCCTAGGGGAGATCAGTTCACATTACAAAATCACGACATCTCATTCATCATAACTGACGTGGTCTTTGCTCAGGAGAGGACCCCAACTGGGACTAAACCACCTGTCTTCTCTCGAAAAGGGGCACTTTATCCAAGTTAGAGTTGAAAGTCTTGGAGTCAGAAAGCTTGCCAACACTAGCTCCTAGCCATGTGACACGTGTGCAGTGTGGAAGGGAATTTAGGCTTAAAAAAGGGTGACTTTTAAAAAGATTGGGGATTATACTTTTAATGATGCCAAATACAAATAATTATAATAGAGATGTTACAACGTTATGGTAAAGAGCCAAGATCCGGGCTCCCTCTGCTTTATCTCCTCCATTTTATTAAACAGAAGTGAGAAGGATATGCACTTTTATGGATCAGAGTTTAAAAAGGTAAAGAAAATATCCCACTTTTCAGGCTGATAATTGATCATCATATTTTTTTTAATTTCTTTTAGGGCATCGTTGTAACACCCTTGCTACTGCTGCTTTTTGTGAGTATTTTGATTTTTTTTATATCTCTTATTAAAAGCCATATATGGGAACCAGCAGTTGATATAAAGGTTATGCCACTCGATTCCCACATGGTCAACCATGGTTCGAGTCCCTGACCTAGCGACGTAAGACACTCACGCTGGGTACATCTGTGTGCATACCCAAGATCCTGAGAAGAGAATGGAGAAGGGATTACGGCATGGCTATACCTCCTGGAGGATGATTTCTTGCTTTCTTTCTTTCTGTCTCTCTGGTGAGCCCATGCGCCCTATAGCAAAAAGCTGAGGGGGAAAAAAAAAAGCCATCTACAATTCCTTTAGAAAGGTTATTAGAATATAATTGAAATTAGAATGGTTTTGCACCACTTTTTGAACTGTTCTTCCAGTTGAGTTGTTCCAGGTAATAATACTAGACATCTTAGGAGTCAAGGACAAGATCAGGAGCCCTTATTAGACCTCCAACTCCTGGCTTAATCATTAATTATTACAAATTAATGATTTGTGACACAGGTCACAAATGTACTGCTCTTTATTTTCTCATTAGTAAGCTAATTGGTGGTATTTGACACAACGTTTGATGGTGTTTACAGAAAGAGCCTTAGAGTAGAGGATGAAGGGAATTTGGGTTCCAAGACTGAGACTGATGGTAACTAACTTCCTCATTTGGGGGAACATTGCCTTGCTTTGTTCATCTGTCGAATGGGAAACAATGTCACCTACTCCCATCTCTCTCCCAGGGATAATGAAATGTGCTTTTGAAATAAACAATACAAGTAGATGGGACCAGCAGTTGGTGTAATGGCTATATCACTGGACTCCCATGTAGTTGACCGTGGTTTGAGTTCCAGACCCAGTGGCTTAAACTCATGCCAGGCGCATGTGCGTGCGTGCCCAAGGGATTGTGGCGTGGCCATCCCCCTGGGGGGGGTGATTTCTTGCTTTCTGTCTCTTTGTCTCTCTATATCTTTCTGTCGAGTGCATGCGCCCTATAGCAAAAACCTCTCAAAAAAAAAAAATACAAGTAGATACAAGCTATTAGTTACTGAAACAAAAGTCATTCTGAAAACAAGATATGCTAATTAACTGTCTTATTTCTTTTGGCACTAAGGTTATGAGAAATTAGATGAGAGATTATAATAGAAATTAATGTTATCTCATGCTGAGCAAAGCATATGTAATCATAAGTGATACCTGAAATATTTAATGAACAGTGCATTTTTTCATATATACATCTTCCAAATATAAATCACTCTACTATCACTGAAATGTAGTGGGGATGTATTTCTGGGAATGAATTGTAGCTGTTTGACTAGCATGGTTTGTCAGTGAATGAAAACTATGGGGAAAATTTATTTAATTATAGTGTAATTACCCAAGTTGGAATTCAATTAGAGTAATAGAGCGAGGGCCTTCATTTCTTACCAGCTGTGTAGGAAATAAAGAGGGATAGATACGCTCTGAAACAGTTGGATTCTGCATCTTTCATGAAAGACATTACCTTCAAGTAATAATCCTCAGCCTTCCCCTCCCTCTGAAATGAAGACTCCATTCTGACAAGGGGAGAAGAGTCAGATAATCAGATCAGTTTCCTTAACAGAACAAACTTCATTCATTTGGATTCTACCAATTCAGAACTTGCATCGAGCTAAATTGAAACTGAAGTGAATATTTGCCTTAGTTTGTTAGAACAGACTTGGTACTTCCCTCTTCACTAGATGTGCTATATCACTGGACTCCCATGTAGTTGACCGTGGTTTGAGTTCCAGACCCAGTGGCTTAAACTCATGCCAGGCGCATGTGCGTGCGTGCCCAAGGGATTGTGGCGTGGCCATCCCCCTGGGGGGGGTGATTTCTTGCTTTCTGTCTCTTTGTCTCTCTATATCTTTCTGTCGAGTGCATGCGCCCTATAGCAAAAACCTCTCAAAAAAAAAAAATACAAGTAGATACAAGCTATTAGTTACTGAAACAAAAGTCATTCTGAAAACAAGATATGCTAATTAACTGTCTTATTTCTTTTGGCACTAAGGTTATGAGAAATTAGATGAGAGATTATAATAGAAATTAATGTTATCTCATGCTGAGCAAAGCATATGTAATCATAAGTGATACCTGAAATATTTAATGAACAGTGCATTTTTTCATATATACATCTTCCAAATATAAATCACTCTACTATCACTGAAATGTAGTGGGGATGTATTTCTGGGAATGAATTGTAGCTGTTTGACTAGCATGGTTTGTCAGTGAATGAAAACTATGGGGAAAATTTATTTAATTATAGTGTAATTACCCAAGTTGGAATTCAATTAGAGTAATAGAGCGAGGGCCTTCATTTCTTACCAGCTGTGTAGGAAATAAAGAGGGATAGATACGCTCTGAAACAGTTGGATTCTGCATCTTTCATGAAAGACATTACCTTCAAGTAATAATCCTCAGCCTTCCCCTCCCTCTGAAATGAAGACTCCATTCTGACAAGGGGAGAAGAGTCAGATAATCAGATCAGTTTCCTTAACAGAACAAACTTCATTCATTTGGATTCTACCAATTCAGAACTTGCATCGAGCTAAATTGAAACTGAAGTGAATATTTGCCTTAGTTTGTTAGAACAGACTTGGTACTTCCCTCTTCACTAGATGTGAGCGACTGTAGCTATCTATCATAGATGAGTTCTCAGGGCACTGAGATCAGTGTCCTGAGGTCACGTGGGCAGTTTCCAGGAGCAGTCCTCAGTGGACCCAGCTTACAGGCCCAGCTGAGGTCCCCACTTCAGTGGTTCAAGAGACCTGGTATCCATAGAGCACAGAATCTAGTAAGTGTGATTCAGAGGTCTTCTCCACTGCAGAAGAGGGACAACTCTTACTCATGTAATTCTTTTAAGAAGAGCTGGGGTGAGGCCAGTAGGTGGCATCATGGTTTCAGGTGTTGGACTGCCACATTGCCGACCACAGTTCAAATCCTGAACCTGGAGGCTTGCTTTCTCACTTTCTCCCTCTCTCTCTCTCATGAGCACACATGCCCTATAGCAAATTAAATAATAATGATAATGATGAATAAAATGAAATAAATTATTCCTTTTTTTTAAGAATGATTTATTTTTAATTTTATTTATTCATTCATTTATTTTCATTTGACCAGAGAGAGACACACAGAAAGAGAGAAAGAGAGAGAGAGAGAAAGCAAGTAAGCAAGCTGCCAGATCTGAGACTTGAATTGTGGTCAGCCATGTGGGAGTGTCCAGTGCCTTATCCACCATGCCACCTGCTGGTCCCAATAAATGATTCTTCAAAAAAAAAAAGAAGAAGAACAAGGGAGGGAGCAGGCTCTGTGGCCCGGAGGTTAAGGAGCCAAATTCCAAATGGCCAAACAAACAGTTCACATCCCAACTGTGGTGGCTTGAAAAAACATACCAGACACAGATACCTATGTGTCCCAAATCCTGACATGATAGAGAAGTGGAAGAAAAGGGATTGCAGCATGACCATACCCCTTTCAGGCTGCTTTCTCTCTCTGCCTCTCTGTCTCTCTCTGGCTGTGCACATGTCCTCTGGCAAATTAAAAACCAAATACAAACAAACAAAAAAGAACAAGGGAAAAGACACAGCTGCATCTAGGTGACTGAGACCTAGAAGTAACACTTGAGTATCTCAGACTCTGGAATCTCTAGGAGGCTATTTCAGCTCATGATTAAAGAACCAAATCAGTTCTTGTCATCTTGTGTCACAATAAGAAGTTTCCGTAGCTGGTTGAGATTATGGCATCATATTACAAGCTTTCTCCCACCGATACACCCATGGTTTATAGGCTTTAATTCATTCAACATTTAAAATAAGAGTGAAAGAAAACTCCAAGGCCCTCATCTATTGTTTTCTCCCTTAGAATTTTGGTCATAAAACACGTGCACTCACTGGAGAGAGACACAGAGAGAGGGAAAGTGAGAAATCACCTCCAGGTGGGGAGGTGGCCTCTGTTCTCCTCTCAGGATTTTGGGCATGTACGCATACATGCCTGCCATGTTTTTTAGGCCATGAGGTCCAGTATGAACTACAGAGTTGGGATCCGACACCTTAACCAGCACACTGCTAGCCCCCGAGGCCCTCCTCTTAAAAGTTTAATGCCTCCCTTCTGAGCCAAATGGTTTGCCCCAGGTTCAGTGAACATCAGCACTCAACAAAGTAGATACTTCCCTTTTGTAAGACTTGAAGTCACTTGCACAGCGTATAAGGCTTTTTGTCTATTTCTGCCGTCACACATCTTCCAAACACTGAGAATTTCTTAAATACTTGAGTTAGGCCACATTTACTGAGCAGGACAAGAACCAGAGCAACTTCAAATGTGGACACATTCCATAAAAGATGTACTGGTTTTTCCCAACACCCTCATACGAGTAGAATTGTGTCCACCCAACGATATGTTGAAGTCCTAACGCCTAGTATCTCATACTGAGGCCTTACTTGAGAATAGGGTCATTGTAGATGTGATTAGTGAAGGTGAGGTCATAATGGAGTGGGATAGGTCTTTAATCTGATATGATTGTGTCCTTATAAAAAGAGGGTGCAGACGCACTCGGAGGGAACTCCATGTAGCGATGGAGGCAGATCTGCATGATGCGTCTACAAGCCAGAGATCACCAAGGCTTACTGGCCCCTCCATAGCCCATCTTCAAATATCCTCTCTAACCCAAAGTTCCTATCTTCCTGACTAACAAGTCAAATGAAAATTCTTCAAACTCACTGGAGTGACTAATTAACTTTCCCGATCACTTCTATGATGTCTCCACCATCCTCCACACCCTCATCCCCAGGTCTTCATAGTCCGTCTGGCGTAGCCTAGACCCCATGTCCATCATTGTAATTCCTTTATTACATACACCATCAGCAGTTCTGCTCATCTCTTCACTGCTTTTTTGTTTGCCTGGAAAAGCATCAAGCCTGCTGAAATCCAACCCTACACCTTTCTGCATGTGCTCCTGAACACGGCGACTGAAGCTATCTATCATAGAT